CCTGCAAAAATTTGACACTTCATATAACTGACTGCCTTGAGGCTGATAGGAGAGGTAAAATTCTTCACCCTAGAGGACAGGAAAAGAAGCAATGGGCTGAGAGATATTAGAAGAAAACATTTCAAATGGTAAGTTTAGGTAAGCCATTAAAGAAAATCTGTTCATTCAAACTTACTGGAAGCCTGAAAAAATTATTGTAAAGAGCATCTGTTAGGAATGCATCAGTATAGGGAAGCTGCTAGGTGGGCCAGATGGCCTATAAAGGCCCCCTCTAGACCTGTTTTTTTGTGATCTTGCAATGGACAGGAGCAAAGACCAGGTTAAGCAATCTCTAGGAAAGCTTCAAGAGCACCTGAGAAGCCTCTAATCTATCTTCCAGTTTATCTTGTTCCTTCCCTTTGAGTAAGGAATGTTAATTAAAATACCTTAAGGAATTTGGACCGCAGTGATAAACTTTCACAATAGCCAGCCTCACGCAGTCCACTTAAAAATAACATTTCACTTTTTATGTTGTGCTTTGCATTTCTCATGGACTAAACTACTTTTCAGACTATGTTCCCATCTCAGCATGTATCATATTTACTCTTATAACCACTAGCTATAAGTGTTTGATTCCCAGTCACATGCCTAGTAGCTTTACAACAGAGAAGCAGAACAGCCTTTTTATCCAATCTGACAAGAAAATTTGGGGGCTACACAGGAGCAAATACCATACACCATTTCAAGCATGCAAAAAGGCTCAGAGAAATTGCTTGTGCCACACCACATACAGCAAAGGACCCCTCCATTCTCCGCCAGTCCCCATCAGCAAGGCTGCCACTGGGAAGAAGCTTCCCCTGACATGAATCACTACAGGGCCACTTACAGGGACCGGGGTTCTGACATGAATGATGCCCAGGAACTTTTCCCTGGGACGCTGAAAAAATTTTGATCTATACATAGATGTTAGTTTTCCTACTTGGAATGATAAAAACAGTATCAGCCTGCTGGGATTTGGACATACACTTGCCAGGTAGCAGACAGTGGATGTCAAGATCCCTAAACAAGATGATGCTGAAAGGAAGCTGTTCCTCCAAGGCTGACGAAGAGTCTGCAGAATAAAAAAAATGCAGGAGAGATACCACTTCCCTTCATCTTCCTTCCTTTTTCCTTCCCTTTATCTTCCTTCAGAAATATTCCAACATGCCAGAAGCATCCCTTGTTTTTACCAGCTATTACTGCTCATAAACAGAGATTCAACTGTAAGAGTCTTCTTGTCAAGAAGAGAAGCAAGTACTTTGGCAAACAGAGCATTTCCATCCTGAGATGGAGAAAATATATAGAAAAACCTGATGGAGAAAACAACTTTCCCCTCCCCTGCCCTACTCCGTTTCCCTGCAAAAAAAATAATCACCAGTACAAAGAACTAGCTACTACAATCATAAAAATTTCACTCTTTTTCCACCCACCCTCCTCAAAAAGATAAAACATGTCTTCCTGTTTCCTTTCCCTTGTACCGGCAGAGACACCGATGCAATCTCTCCTCTCTGCAAAAGGAAACGCCTCTATCTCCATCTGCGTCTTTATCCCCCTCAGCAGCTTGACTAAGCAGATTAAAAGAAAAGACAAGCGCACACTGAAGCAGCATTAAAGCAATAACAAAAAAACAACAACTGCCAGCTCAACGGGAATGGGAAGTAGAGTCTGCTGCAACTGCTTAGAAATTCAAATAGGTGGAAGCAAGCAAACACACCAGGTATGCTGCAGGCAGGTAACTCCCAGCACTGACATGGATGCACAGGATCCAGCACCATCCCCAGCCTGGTGTCTGTCTCCCTGGGCTCCACGGGAAGACTGAGAGATGACAGCTTCTCCACAGCACCCTGTCACCCCCCACTTTCATTCCTTCCCCCTTGCCTTCCCCATTCCAAAAAAGAACAGCTGCTGGCTTCCTCCATCACATCTACTGACAAGGTGAATCTGAAACATGGCAACTGCAAGCTCCTGACAAAGTGCAATAAATCAAAGCAGGAACCCACTATTTGTATTTGGGGATGAAAAGAAACTATTCAGCCAATTAAAATATTCTACAAACAAGAGCAAGAAAGAAAGGAAAAGAACAGTGGTGGTATCATACAGAGAAAGTGCATTTTTAAATAGAATCAGTATTAATTGATTAATTTTTTCATACATAACATTTTGAAACTGTGTTTGTATAAACTACTGTTCTCATCTATTACTACACAAACTAGACAAGCAGTTAAAAAAGAAAAAACACAACATTCCTTGATAACTATCTTGCTAGCCAGCCACCCTGATCATCTGGGAGATGTTCAACTCTGCCTGCAAAATAACAATTAATATATTGCACAAAAGGATAAAAATATTTTGTTGCTCATCTTGGTTATTTGTCACAAAAAAGCAGTAAGTATAAAAGACTTCTAAAAGAAAAAAAAAAAAGATGACGTTATGGAAAAACCACAAAAGAGAAGAGGGCTGCATTATGGTGAGGAGTTCTTGTAAAAGGAAGACAAAACAACGCTCCAAAATTTATGTCCTCTGGCTTCCTTCCTGCAGAGCAGATGTGGGGACCCAGAATTTCACATCAGCAAAGAAACAGATGAGTAAAAATAACTCCTGTTAGAAGAGCACTTAGCACACACTGAAGAATGGTGGAAAAGAACTGATCAACCAATGAGGTATGTAACAAATTCATTTAATCATGTAAATACTACTCATCATTTGTCACATACAATTATCAAACCTAACTAGTTTCTCAAATTTCTTCAAACAAGGCGGTCTCAGAAAATTACGACTGTTCCCTGCAGCCTACAAACCTCAACACAGTTCCCAGTTAAAGGCCACAGCAACCACTTCAAAAATGATCACCAGTTTGTGCGTCAGCTTTAGCAGACTGAACATTTCAGAGGTGCTGAATGAATACTCACAAGTATGCTGCAGTTAACCGTACAATCTCAATGACAACATAAATATCACAGGGCACATTTGAAAATATAGCTTATCTCTGAGTATTGGCTAAGAAACTTCACTGACTCGTAAGGACACACACAGAAAAAGCCACGGTGTAAGGACTTCAGCTTCATAAAGGTTATTTTTAGCTTTGTAATTCAGAAGAAGTACTTTATAAGTACAAAGAAGTCAGGCTTAAGGTAGCAGTAAACCAGACTACTGAGGGAAGTTTACATTGCTGCAACCTTAGCCAATGCTTTGAATGATACTTTAAAAAAACACACAAAAAAACCCCGACTCACCGAAATTAGGAAGTGGTACAGTGCTTAGGGTCTCAACTGCCGGAGCTGCTACACTGAGCTCCCAACACAACTGCTCAGCGATATGTCATCCCTCCCTTTTCTGCAACAACTCCAGGACTGCCTAAAAATATTTTATATCAGGGTTTGCAACAGTGTGCTTCCAGCAGCATTGGTAATAGGTGTCTTCGTTCATCCTCCCAGAGGAATCCATTCACAGTCTGCCTAATGTCGAACACATTTTTTTACACGACATGAAAACGATTCAGGACACATGAGAATTTCATCCATGACACAAGGTGGACACAAACTCCGGTAATTCCTTGCTTTGCAGTGTCTATGTATTAATTTTTCTGCATTGACCCCTCCAAGTTTGAGCCTAAAAAGCATGCTGGAAGTTACTGAGGACACATGAGTAAGTTTACAGGAAGCCAGTGCATCAGCTTTACAAGTAATTTTATAACAACACAACTGCACTGCAAACCACCCTCACACGCACTTTAAACAATCAAAATGTTTTACAGGAGAACAGAAGGTGAGAAGAACTGAGAATATTTGCTGACCTGCCGGGGCTGACTTTAAGGCTTTTATAAGCCTCACAGTATCTCATGACTTCTCAAAATCTTAACTCTTGGGAAACTGAAAATCTCAGCCTGCTTTTGAAGCCAGGCAATAGTTTCAGAAACACCCAGCACAAACCAGTTCTGCCCACAACGCAGCAGTCCTGCCTTCTCACCCCACTCGGCGGCTCACCCCTGCCTCCGTGCCTCCCTCCCTTTCTGCGGGCGCAAGCCCTGAAGCGAATCACGTTTAGGAACAGATCCATTTTAGCTTTTAGCTGTGCTGAATCTACACAATCTGCACGCATGCCCCAATCCAGTTTACCTAGGGCTGCACAAACGTTTGCCCCAGCACAAAGGGATGCAGAGGCTACAAACCACACCTGCTTCTTTCAGCTGCTGTACTGGATTAAAAATGATTTATGAAATTATGGCCTGTATTTCCAGATAGCGAAAAGATTGAGAACCTCTCCCCATTTCACCCGCAAGGCAAACACCATCTGGGAGACACTTAGTTCTTTCCCTCCGCAGTTTTACTGCCGCATGACTCCAGATATTTCAGCACAAGGTGTATCATACTGGGAACCACACTGGTTCCAGGTGCTTCTGTAGTACAAACAATACTAACTGGGGCAAAGAGCCTGCTCCCACACCCGAAGCAGGCTACAGGGGCTTTGCTCTCAGCTTCACCGAGAATTTGATTCAAACAGAAGAGACTTGAACTGAAAAATGCCCAGAGTACACAAGCATATTAAAACCCCACCTTCATACTCAAGCACGTACCACATGTCAATCCACATTTACATTGCATTAACACTGGTCAGGCACTTCAGAACTTCTGTGCAAATATCAAATGCTGCAGCTCTTTGCCAAAGCAAACTTGCATACAAATGTAATGTAAAGTTTTGAGAGGTTTTGTAATAATTTTAAAAATCATACTAATGTGTGCAGCTCTTTGTCCAGGTACCAGTTACCTAAGTACACTGGTTGTGAGCATGATACCATCTTCAAACCAACAGATCCATTCCACTAACTCAATAGCCAAGACCTACACTTCTGGACCCTGATGCAGACCAGGCATCTCAAGGATCAGCACCCTCTCATCAATATGGAAATTATGTGTGATAACTGTTATTTACTGTATGATATAGACAACAAGGAGAAAGCTGCATAGCGAGGCATTTTCACTTACGTGGTTTATATAGAGACTCTTGCGTTTTTCTCTCACTGCAAAAACACAAAATATGATAGAAATATTACATGACTATTTTTCCCGATTAAGCTTCTTTTATATACCATTTATAATAAAAAGAACAGGAGGCTATGTGCAACATTATAATTGCTTTTGCGATAACCAGGTATATTTATATATCAAACACAGAAGGAACATATATCTCTATGCATAAAGGCATTTATGCTCACTAGCGTGGTGATGGATTAAAATTCTCATCCATTTGGGTACTTCACCAGGCGCTGGTCCGCATGGGAAAGTTAATATGCAGTAAGCTACAGCCCAAGTCAGCAATGGATTAGCCATCCTTCACCAGTTCCCTGTGTGAGTACTCCTGAGCCACCAGTGCCTTCCTGCAAGGTACCTTGCTGCAAAGTGGCCTGCGCTGCCTTGCAGGTATGAAAGCACCTAAACGGCTACACCACGGAGTGAGCCAATTCTCATCATGGCTTACTGTGCACTAACTCCCACAGAGGAGCCCTGAAATGCTACGCATCACACCACTGTCTTCTACAGTGGTCAGGTGCAAGCCTGAAACTATTATTCACGTCAGCTATAACAATTAATACATATTACTTTGGTGAGTATGAACCAGTCACCACAAGCAAGGGTTGCAAGTCAATTGGCCAAAATATTCGGAAAGTAAACAGCAACAACAAGGTAGACAGATGTACAGAGTCTTAATTGTCAGGCAAATGCTTACTGCAGCTGATTAAATATACTATATTTAATTTTTTTAAAGCACTTTCCCAATTAACTCACCCCATAGAGAGCCTGTGGAGCTCTGTTCCAGTGAAAATACCACAGCATTTAGCACACAAGTCTGGAGGCAACTAACACATAAACCAAACTGCAGGATTAAAATAATGATGTTTTCATGCTGTAGGTGATTAAATGCACTTTGGTGCACCATGATTTGAAAGCTATGCAACCCAATGTACTTAGCAAAATAAGAGTGTTCATAATGGTGGGATAGCCTGTCCATTCCCTGTTGGATGAGAAGGCATTATTTGTGATTTTTTATAAGCAAGCAATCTCACATAAACAAGGCTGTATGTGTGAACACTGTGCAATAATTGTGTTTAATGCAGACATAAAATGAAAAGAAAATAAGAAAAAACTTTTAAAAATCCTTACATAATTTTCCTCCCAGGGAGCAGAAAGGAGAATCACACATGACAGATGTTAGCCATGTCACTTAGCACATGCTCAGATCCACAATTACGGACATTGCATAACAGAATTGAACAGGAACAGCAGGAAAAATCTGATTGTCTAATAAATAAACTGCTTGAAATCCTGCTAAAACACTGCACTACACTTAAGTTCCACACACTGCATTTATCACCAGCAAGGGACATAAGCAATCTAAAGGAAAACAACAAAACGATGCTGGATACTCACTTCTAAGCATAGCCAAAGTATTTGTCTGGTATTGCATATTGCAATGTACTGGCAGCAAACAATTCTGTTAAGCTGCAAGTAAACCTAATACAGTACATAACTGAAAATTAACAACTGTTAACTGCGAAACTTTGAACACAGTTGAGTATTTAGCAGTGTTATAATCACAAGCAATTATACCGCATACAAAGTTCTTACAGACAATATCCTATTAAGACTGTCTGCACACACACTCCAAATTCCATTTTAATCACCTGTTGCCCCCCACCTTAGTTTTTATCTTCTTTATTTTCCCTTGTATCCATTATATTATTCAATTCCCTATGAAACCACGATCATCTGTGTACCAAAGCAGAAGAATCACTCACAGCTCATTCCCATTTGCCATTTCCAACCTCCAGAAGAATGTATTACCACATTTACACACCCCTCACTTCTCCCTGCTCAAGTACTGCTCCTGCAGCACATTCTTCTAAGCGTGACATTGACCTCCTTCCCCCTCTTTTCCCCATCTAACAGCCATTCCATTTGCCTGGATTCTCCGGTGAGGGACTACAAGGCAGCAGCTGTGCTTCTGTGTTCCCGGCCCACTCTGCCACTGCGTCAGGCTCACCTCTTCCCAGAACACCCGCCGGTGGGGAGTCGGGCAGAGCAGAAACCCATTTTGTCACAACTGCTCTCTTTTGTAATCACAACCCTCCCTTCAAACAAGGGAAAGACTTCTGCCAAGCTACAATGACTGTAAAGAGGTAATTCCACCACTTGGCTTCAGTCAGTTTAAAGAGGCTTTGCACTGCTCGCACAGCACAGTACGGTCTCCAGCAGACCAGACCGCAGCCTTACAACTAACTGTCATTTTGCAGCATAAACTCCTAACTGCAACTCCAGACTTCTGGCTTTCAAGAATGGGGGTTTGATGAAATGAAGCTGAACAGGTTTAGTGTCAGTATAAACAAACATTTACTTTCTTTCTAACATTTTAAAATCTGAAAGTTGGAATGAGACTCTTCAAGTGGAGACTGAGATGCTGCCAAATTGACTTAGTCTTCCTCATTTTAAGGTCAGTGACCTGTTCCTGTTTCTGCAGGGACTTTCAACTGTTATTGCTGAACTCTCACAATAGTAGGAAAATATATTATCCTGAAATATAAGGGAGTGATGAAATACACAAATATATATGTTCTTGTGTGTGTATATGTACATATGTACGTATTTTTCATTGAGCTGTAATAGAAACTTTCTTTGTGCAATTTCTGTAGACTATCTTAATGCAACCCATATCAGGATCAAAGACAAAATCCTTGAGGATTACATCAACAAAAATGTATCGCATTTTGGGAGTTCGTAAATCATTTATTTCTGTTTTATCCGAGACAGGAGACTGGTCTTAGTTAATGCTAAAGTGCAGCTTACTTTACCTCTATCCATTAGATAAACACAATTCCAAAATCCTCTTTGTCTGAAGCCCATTGTGCACTGATACTGCAAAATTTAGCCAGTATGTTGAATGTGTAAGGGCTAATGTAAGTTAGAAGAGGTGGGTAGCTGTAACCCACTTACAGAAAAGACCATTACCAGCACCCTAAAGCAGCAACTGTTGCCCTCTTGCTATTACAAGGAAGGATGGTACGTTACTGGAGTGCCAAGGTTTGGAAACGCTGGCTTAACCACAACCACACAGTAAATAGTGCATGGCTTTTCAGTCACCTCGACCACCCTGCTTACAGGCCAAACTCCGCAAACAAGGGAGAACTTGCACTCACAGAAGTTAATGACATAAAAGGTGATATTCTTTACTAACTCCCTAACCAGGGAGAATTACTCATGCATGATTCAGCACCTAGGAAATTCCCACAAAGAGCTGGAAACATTTAGAAAAGCTACTTTAGTTAGGAATCGAATTAATATTTATTAAGTCTTCCACTTTTCTACAGATTTATTAATTAAGAATGCATTCAGACTACCAACTAAGAGAGACAGAACAGATTTAGATGCTTAGCTTGGCATCCAAGCTTCACAGAACAATGAAAATTCAGACCACGTAATATTCAGAGATGCCATGTCCCATCTCATTATATTTGGGGTAGTCAGCTTGTTGCTCTTCGTTCACGTGTTGATCACAAGCAGCTCAAACACAGTTCCTATGCCAGGACAGTACTACAAGACTACCACTGAGGCTGAAAGAGTACAGGGCTACTAGAAAGCCACACGTGGAACTGCCTGAAGGTGACGTTGCCAAGTCACTCTAGCACGTAGTGATGGACTCGGCCATTTCCCACTGTACAAACGTGTGATCTACACTCATAAGTGCCAGACCCTGGATGAAACCTTGAGTTCTGATGCCCTTCAACTCTCCCATATGTGTATTTTAAATGTCTGCAGGTCTTACCTACAGAAATGTTTTCACTTACAGTCAACAGGAAGGTTTCCCAGCCCCATAACTATACTGTTAATGGAGAGAGATACTTACATACCTTCGGTGTTTTCAACATTGCCAGCTCAGCTCTCCCCTTTCTACATTGTCTTAAGAAGTCTTGGGGGTCCCCTAGACTCCACAGCAGGCTGTCAGAATACAACCCTACATGCCCTAAAAAACTGTTACATTTTCCCCTTAACAAGCATTACACTGCATTTTGGTGTTAGGCAACATCCTTGCATAATGTGATAACTCCTACAGCTCACATGGTTTCACAAAAGGCCCAAAGTACAGCCAAGCAAAATGCTTACTACTGTGAGCTGTCCTACCAGAACAGGATGGTTCTTGGCAATACATCAGTAGATAAATGTTTTCAGTATCTTTTTTCTTTTGTACAAGCAAACAGTCTTTGGATTTTTTCCACTGCAATGAAGGATAGCTGAACAGATCTCACACCCCGTCAATAATGTTTCTATATTGTTTCACTAAATTCATTGTTCTCACTCAAAAATATGTTCTTCATATTACTTAAACTAGAGCAAAGTTTCTTAGACCAACTCTAGTATGGGTGTAACCTCTCATTTCAAACAATGCTTACAGTTAACTCCATATGGCAATAAATTAACCACTATTACTACAAGTAAGAATAACCATCGGGTATGGTCAAAATTTTAGTTGTTGGACTTGGGATCTTTTTTGTCCTTCCCTTCAATAAGCTGTAGCAAGAAAGAGGCAGCATCCATAGGGGATTATACAGTCTCAAACCACTATAAAATAGACATCAATCTTCATAATTCAGCGCACTATGGAAATATTATCATATTCATTTTACAGGCTACCAAGCCAGATTAGAACGGTAAATCACATCCAAAACCACATAATAAGGCATTGACAGAACCAGGGCTGAATTCAGCAGGGCAATCTGAAGGGTAAAAGAGGTACTCACACAATCAACTCTTCAATTAAGGCCTAAATATATTTCCTCTTTGTTCTAGTCATGCTCAAAAATTAGCAAAAAATACATAGCAAGTGAAAACTACATTATTTTCAAGTGATGTGTTTGACACTGCAATTTACTGTGTAAGTCAAAAACTGCAAAAATTTATACGCAGCAGAAAGAAGGACAAAGAATTCACACTGAACAGTCAGAACTACAACGCAGAAACTGCTCTGAAAAGTCTTGGTAGAAAATAATGTGTTTTGCATCGATTATTCACCTACTTCTGAAACAACATGTCATACATGTCCAACAGGGAATGAAAGAGCCAGAACAAATGGCTTCTGTTCGACAAACTCTATCAAGTGGCTTGCTTGACAGATGTAATTCCAGAGGGATCATTTTGCCTATGGACAAAAAAAATACTCGAGACAAATATATGATTGTATCAAATCCATAATGAGAGAAGAAGAGAGAATGTTTGGGTGGGATGGAGGTTGTTTTGTTATTAAAATCTATCATTGAGGTCATTTACAGTATTGGCTATATCAGAGGAAACTCTGGACTGTCTTCTTAGCTAATGTAAACTGGCATTTTCTCAAGAAAATACTCCCCACACACTTCCCAGAAGCTTGGCCTAATATTTAGAGTTTTATAGTTCTGATATGACGACTACTTGGAACTTCTAATTTCAGGACGTGACAGGGCTCAAATCTGTACCTTCTACTACTGGTCTGACAAAATAATTAACGAAAGGTGCGACTTTTTTCAACTTTAACACAATGCATACACAAGCCTCTTTTTTTTTGGAGGGCAATTATATATTAAAAGACTATCGCACGTATTCTAACAAAGGGTTTAGAGATAACTACAACAGCAAATACTGTAATAAATTCAGTAACCTACCATCTGTTTGCGATTTACTGAGAAATATCGTACTGGCCCGTGGATGATCTGATGGGTTGAATTCCATGTTCAAATCTGGAAAGAAAGAACAGCACAAAAACATTTATGATTATCCAACGGTATACACAGATTTTCTCATCTTTTTAATAAAACCAAGTTTACATGCTTCAGCAGCTATGGTAAAACAAAATCCATTCTGAGGCCCACTTTTTTATTCTTCGTCACCCAAGTGCCTCTTTTTGGCATGAAAATCATTTGCATCGACACAGCTTTGGGGTTAGACTTCGGTTCTAAGGGTTGTTTTTGGATTAAAACAGATAAAGCAGCTTGAGAAGTTTGTACACAAGAAGTCGTGAATTATCCATTTACCACCAGTTTCTTCCCACTGTGCCCCAAAGCCATTGCTAAGCACAGGACCACAGCTTGTTATATGTAATTACAGAAGAACTGAGTATTATAAAACAAATACACACCCCTCTGTAGATAGGTAGGTTCCCAAGATTAGATGTGATTAAAAGAAGTAGTTATCGCAGCTGAGTGTAAACAAGCTAAGACTAGGCCAGAGTGTTTTAAATGGTCAAGCTTACAAAAACATGGCACTCTCCTGATATTTCACAGCCGAACACAGCCCTTGCTGTGGCAACTTCAAAAAAAACCCAAAAAAAACAAACCCAAAACCAAACCAGTCCTAAAAAACATGTGTCATGTTACAGATTCTGATATATCACATCTTATACTTACCTCTATGAATGCTATTTTCCCTATCAAGGTTAAAATCCATTGAATTTATTTGTTCCCAAATTGCACTCCACTATCAGTCTGTCAAAACTCTTCTACGCCTCCATGCACTTGAAAGCACGCTACTGAAAACAGCACATTATTTTTTATCATTTTCTCTCTCTCCCAGCGTGGCTATCTCAACCTTAGCTCTCTCACATTCTCTTGATCTCTGGTTAGACATCCTCTTGCATTTGATGCAGGCATTTATGCAAGACTACGGACGAGCACTGATATGCTTATCTTCTGTGATTATCCCAGGCTTTCTACATCTCTCTCACTCCCCTTTCATATTTCCCCTTTCATATCTCTGCGAAAGCTCAGCCAAACTGGAAATTAAGCAGTGGCCGTGGCTCCTTCCCACCGCTCAACCCCACAAAGCACCACAGGTCCTGTTCCCTCCACATCCCTTCTCTCACATCTTCCCCAGCAACAGCAGCCATCAAACACATCCATCTGTTCTTTCTCAATCTGCCTGCACAAGAACCAGAGGAGGAGAACATGGGCATGGGGAGCAGCCAACCCTGCCAGGACAGGTCACTCAGCACAAGGTGGCCAGAAGACGACCAGCGCTGCTGAGAGAGGCTGGCTCCCCACCTCCCTTCGAGGAACAGCACAGAGGTCTCGTGGGCTTGCAGGCAGACGAAAGCAAGCGCCAACTGTTTGGTGTGTAGCTGCAACTCGACCAATCCCAGCTGCTACAGGGAAAAGCGTTAGGCAAATGGGAGCATCCCGCAGGCCACCTGTGGGACCACACCATGCCATGCCACCACTGCTGGCACACGGGAGTATTAGAATGGATTCACAACACGCGAGTAAAATTTCAGTCTCTGGTTGATCTTGGATGTCTTAATTTATTGTACAACTTGAAAACAAGTGCCTTTTTGAATCTGGCAACAAATTCTTATAAATCTTCACTACAAAATTGTGTTACAGAAGAGTGAGATCAAATGATAGACATGTATCAGAAGCTAGTAACTCCTCACCAAAGGGCATTATCCAGAAAAAGGTTACTTCCATCCTAAAGAAAAACAATATATTCACATTGCTTTAGTGTTATCCATAGTTCTTCCTAGTATTTGAAAATTATAATGAAAAACAGCCATAATATGAGTTTACCCATTTGTAATGGAGCAGTTGAAGGTAGAGAGATTTAAACTCACGCAAGCAATACTCTACTATTCCAAAGAGAGGAAAATGAGAGCTAGAATTTCAATTATTGAAATCTGCACAAAAATCTTCTCGATTGCTACCAGTCTGCTCTGTGACTCACCTTGGCCCTACAAAGGACAGACTCAAAGCAGGTACGTCTTCCAACAGTTACCCTACACTCCAAAGCCAGCTTTTAAGAAAAAGTCATTGACTCATAGACAGTCCAAATCAAAACTCTTTCACCGTAAATGTTCTTTCCAGTTAAACAGATGTGCAGTGTTTTCCTACACATTGCCATAGTTCAAAGAACGGCTTCTCTTTTTTTTTTTGGTTCTAAAGGACTGTTAAGTTATGCAAAATAGAACTCCCATTCTGTAAACACCTAAACAGTGTGATGCCCCACAAAAACTTCAGGGGTTTGTCGTCTCATGATTGGAATCAAAGGTGTGTGTCTATAAATACATGTATACATACACATGCATATATCTACATATATGTATAGTTAAATCAAACCTAATTTTTGGTTAGCCAAAGCAAAATCAGCCTGAGGTACATTTCAGCTAAGAGATCATGTGCCTAACAGAATTCACACAATTTTGGAGGATTTGGGCAAGACCAGAGTTACAAATACATGCATATATATTTAGGAGGGCATTCTCTTCCTTGCTTAGTAGCATGCCAAAATAAAAGTTATTATACTAGGCATTCTGATTTATCATATTGAAACAAATTCACTCTCTCTACAAGAAGCAGATTTTGTACACAACTTAATTCAGTGCATAACTGCACTGAAGTTTCAGAAAACCACCAGAAGATCACAACGAGATACACCCTGTACACTGTGAGAAACTTAGTTCCTAAAGCCACGGGAGCTGCATTCAAATATGGCCATAAAAAGAAGTGAACTGTAGAACAGTTCAGTTTCAGACTTGGGCTAAAGCCCAGGCAAGATTCTAAATCTCAAAACAAAATCTTAAAAAGCATTACCAAGACCAAAAATACTGAAAACAGCCTCAGTTTGCTCTTTTTAAAGAGATAAGAATAAAGCTCAGATGAGTGTAGAAGAGAGCTACAAGAACAACTGGGGGGACTGCAGAAAATGCCCCCAAACGAGAGCTTGAGTTCAAACCGTTTCACTGACGAAAAGGGAAGACTGGGAGGCATCTGTAGTTCACACGTACCTTCACAGGGGAGAAAGTCCTGAAAGCTCGCTCTAATCTAGCACACAACTTAAAACCAGTGGAAAATCAAAGCAGAGAGATCTCAGTTATGAAACTGGATGAAAAAAAGGCAGGATAATTAGGCACTGAAGCTCCACACCCAAGGAACTCAACTAATGTTGATGTTTTTCCCTTTCTAGAAGATTGCTTCAGCCAAACATCTTTAGGCTTTAGTCCAGCAAGAGTATTTAGGCTCAATTTAAGAATAACTACATGCAAGTTACTGGCTTATGATTCATAAGCAGCTCAGATCAGATGATCCCAGGGGCCTCTAGCTTGAGTTCGAAAAAATCTTCAGAAATAGCAATATTTAAATTATTAAGCACAAAACCTCAGCAAATCCCAGTGGCACATCTGTAAACTTTCTAAAGTTGCACCAAACTCTGCTGCAACTCTGCAGAAAGAGCAAGGCTTTAAGACTTGTGGTGAGAACACATGATGCAGGATAAAAACAGAAAATGAGGAGACTAAATCTTTCATGGCAAAATTTAAACAAAAAAAAAACCCAGTTTCTTCAACTTGTGAGTCTATTGAGACAGAAACAAGCACCACAAGAGGATGAAGGCTGGGCGCTGCAGCAGCTAACTTCTGAGCAACGCGCATCAAAGCTTCTACCGCAACACAAACAGGAAAAACCAACACAGTCGCTGCTTTTGTAATAGTGCACGTGGGCTGCAGCGCAGGCAGCAGGTCTGAAAACATGTTTCTTCTATCAGAAAAATAAGACGTTATTTCCTTCCTTTTGAACAATGAAAGTTGTGTATGTTTGCACTGCCAAAGCTCCGATGCTGATTCAATGACGAACTGAAGCCTAAACTGAGTAAAACACTTGTTTTGGACTTAAACAGTTCTGCAATAATCTGGTGAAATTACTTTCCTTCCCTCCCCACACCCCTGGGACGACAGGCGGTCACCGCCACTGCACAACCACCACTGTCATCAAGGAAAGAGACAACATCATGTATATAGTTTAATGACCTATCACACGCTCAAAAAATTAAATCAATTCATATTTCTTCTTCCCAGAAGACTTTTTTTTCTCAGTTTTTTAAAGAGACTTCAGGTAAGAAAAGAACAGACCTGTCCAGGTCATGCCTCAGAGGAGAACGGAGCTGACTGGGTTAGTTACCCTCTCCCCCATCTCTTCTCCCCCCACAACCGGACACTGCAGAGCAACTGCCCGGTATGGCCTGGGGAGTGGAACCAACAGGAACACCATCAAGTTGCTTACCAAGAAATTAAAAGAATGCAAGCAACGAGCAGTGTTTGCCTAAGCCCTACGCGTTTCCAGGAAGCCTGCCGAAAGGGCAGGGCCAGCCCCTGTTTTTTCCGCCACCCATGCCTCCCTCGGCTGTGCCACCTCCGCAGCACCAGCAGCACTCCAGAGGTTACTTCTCCGGCTGGCAGAAAGAGCAAAGCTGTTCCTGGAGCTCTCAGTGTACCAGCCCATACCAATGAGCTGATGTCAGCTGTGGGAAGAGAAACAGAAACGGAATTCTCCAGGCATCGACCGGGAGATTAGATTCCCCAACATCAAACGCAGAAAAAACTGCTGAAATAAATTTCCGAAGTCTCACTGTACCTTATGCCTTTCTGCTTCTCTTTTACTCTGGTGGGCTGCTCCCCTCTGTTAACAGCAGTTCTCCATTTAAATGTACAGTAATGAAAATATTCCTTTACATTATTATGTTATGGTAATTCCCTCAGGAGCTGTTAAGAGTTAAATGGGTACCTCAGCTAAGAGGATCCTCCTCGTCTGTCTCTAGTCAAATGAAACAAAAAACCCAGACATTACTTTTAAAAAAGAACAGAGGGCAAAGAAACAAGACTGAAGAAAGTAATCTCTCATTATTATTATCCATTTTCTTAGACTTAATTTTTATTTTAAATCACCATGATTTATGCAACGGAGCCATGATACGATCTT